GATGCGGGGCTCGATCCCAGGATCCTGGGATCATGACCTGAGCTGAAGGCAGACGCTTAACGACTGAGCCACTCAGGTGCCCCTTGCTTTTTTGTTTTTCTTAAAAAAAAATGCATAGACAGTACAGGAAAATGTTGAAATAATTCCCTTTCCCACCATTCCTACATGAACTACTTTTATTTTTCATGTTTCAAAAGTCAGCTTCTGTGGGTTCCCCCCTAATATCTGAGAAGTTTGAATCTGTGTTCTGTCTGGAATACCCTGTAACATGGTTATGGTCTTCGCAATTCCTTAAGATACAAGCAATAACTATCCTTTGAAGTATTTGGTTCTCCATAGTCCTGTCATTAGATCAAAGTCCTAGGTATGCAGTCACTGTAGGGAGTCCCTTTATCCTTTTTAGCTGCTTCTACCAGAAGGGCCGAGTATGTGTCAACCTCCTAGCAGTAGAGGAGTCCAAAACTTGTACCAGAGTAGATCCAGCGTTTCTAAAAGCTTTTACAGCTTACAGTTCCCTGTGTCACTCACAGCTACTTAACCAAGTCTAAATGTCCTCACCTTAGAATGCAACCCAACTGCTTATGCGCTTGTTGGAGAACAAGCTGACACGCAAGCGGCACCCTGCTCCCTGAGACTTTGAGTAACTTTCCCCCACGAGGTTCTTTGCTCTTGCTGCTGCCTCCAGGTCCCAGGCGCTACTCCAGTCGCTTTTCCCCCACCCCCACTCGGAATAGCAGCCTCTATAACACGGTCATTCTGAAAGGTGCCTCTTTGGTTTGCATTTTGGCCCAGGCTACTAGCTTAGCACAGATGACCTCAAAGTTAGGGTGCATATTTCATTAACTTGGACAGTTAAACAAACTGTCCAAAAAGATTAAAACATTTTTTTAAAAAATCCTCGGGACGCCTGGGTGGCCGGCCAGTCGGTTAAGCGTCTGCCTTCAGCTCAGGTCATGATCCCAGGGTCCTGGGATCGAGTACCGCATCGGGCTCCCTGCTCAGCACAGAGGCTACTTCTCCCTCTGCCTGCTGCTCCCCCTGCTTGTGCTCTCATGCTCTCTTTGCTCTATCTGGCAAATAAATAAATTTTTTAAAAATCTTAAAAAAAAAAAAATCCTGCCAACTACTGGAGAACTCAGTGGTATTACTCTGAACTCAGATTTATGGCTGCCTTAAAGATACTCTAAGGTAGGTAGGGGACTTCTGCAAGATCCTTAGAATGTGAAGTTTGAGGCAGAGGCTTTTGCTTTTTTTCCCTCTCTCGTGATGTTCATACATCGGGGTAGGTAAAAACCACATACTGAAGTAATTTACTATGTCTTCTGATTCCTGCTGTGGCGCTTATATCCGTATAAGCTACAACATAGCCTTTTTGGAATTTGGTTGTTCAAGTTGCAGTTCTCAGTTAGGTAGAGTCTATGATCTAACTTCTGTTCCAGAAGCTACTCTGGAGTTTTTTTTTAAATACACCTCCCAGCCCTTCTCCCCTTCCACTCTTATTGTTCATTGTTATTAGTAAGCCATGAATACTGGTAGAAGTATGTCGGTCCCTTCAGATTTGCTAGAACAGAAAACTGGTCAAGAACAACTGAGTTAGGGTGCCTGGGTGGCTCAGTTGGTTAAGCGACTGCCTTCGGCTCAGGTCATGATCCTGGAGTCCCGGGATCGAGTCCCGCATCGGGCTCCC